AATATCATGTTCTTTGCACTTAAACCATAAAATTCAGTTCAACAGCAAGGACAAAAAACGACGCTATGGCATGGATCCAAGATGACAAAATCAATGCACTCTTCCTAACCTCAGTCATTTCGTGCATAGAACAAATCAGAGCTGCAAAAAGTCCAGCAGAGAAATTACGGACAGGTTTTGGGGCAGCTATGCTTCTCATCAATTTCGCCGAATCGGAAAATTAGAAAAGTATAAGCACACCTCCTACGACGACCAGTAAGATTGCAGGATATTCACGCAGCTAAATTCTTAATCTCACGTTTCCATTTCTGTTTTCCTCCATTTATGCAGCAGCGAAGTAACCGTTTTCTTACTTAGTCGGAGAAGCTCCGAATGTGTTATACGTAATAGGCTTATCATCGAGAATTCTCCGCCAACATCCATCTACGTCATGGTAGGAAAGTCATGTTTTTCTCCACGCGTTACACGCAGGATGAGGCTTACTAACCAAGGGGCCTGTTTTCACGTGCTTACGCACCTGAGCCTTCAACAGCAAAGTTGCAAAATAATTTTAAAATGAGCATATCTTTAGAATTTACGATACACAGTTCTTCGCGCTGGAGATGAAAAGGTTCCCCCCACCGGTAGACTGATGCCATTACTCGCTTTGAAATCGTTGAGTTTGTTCATCAAAAATTCGTTAAAGTTTTACAAAATATGGAATCGGTAATAAAATAAATTCCAAATTTAAAATTTGGTCTTTCAGATGCCCATATTCGTAGTAGGCTTACGTCATTCAAAACTGAATGGCGCCAGGTACCGTTGTTTGATCACAATGCGAAAAACATAAATTTATGCAGTCTTCATTATTTAATTTCTTCAAGTATAATACAGGGTGATAATATTGGATGGCAAACTGGACAAGGCTCAGAAAAAAAAGCTCATACCGCGAATTAATTCTAATCACCCATGTTAATCAAAAATTTAAATATATTACAATTCAGTGTGGCAAGATAATAAGGTTGGTGTTGGTGTATTTAATTACGGCAAAGCACACTAGGGCTACATGCCTAAGGGGAGGGATGCCTTCGTGGAGGGCTTTCTAAGGAAAACTGGCTCGTATACACGTTACACATGGGAAAACCACGAAAACGCCCATGCAGCCAGCCCGTTCGCGGGATTTGAACCTCGAACCGAACTACCAGTGTTCAGCGACTTTACCGCTCGGCCGCTGGTGGGCCTGCAAGCTAATAAGGTAACCATTAATACACATCTAATGTTCACCTCTCACACTCACGTCTACACACTTTAATATATATACTGACACAGCTCGACTGTTCATCAATAAATTTAAAATTGCTTAAAATGAGTTAAGACTACAGTAAGTGTTCCTTATTTGTAATTAAGGAATGTATTACATTTTAATGCCTCATACGCAATCAAATAGACGTGACTTTTAAACTTTTAATTCTTATTGTAATTTCCAACGTATGAATACATGGAATCTTCACAATAAATTTACTGACGCCAACTGTTTCTGCTTTTGCGAATTTTCCCACAACTCTTTAGTTCACTGATGAATGAAATATAAACTCGCGTAAAAATAGATAAAAGCGTATAATAATATATATAAACAAATATAAATATTATAGCTAACGTTAAATGAAATCAATATAACTATAGCACGATAACTGCATTGTTGGTCTGGTTTAAGTGGTTATGGCAATCTGCGTAAGCTAAGGGATGCCTTCGTGGAGGGAATTCTAAGGAAAACTGCGAAAACGCCCGTGCAGCCAGCCCGTTCGCGAAATTCAAACCTCGGACCGAACTACCAGTGTTCAGCGACTTTACCGCTCGGCAGCTGATGAGTTCAATAACTGCATTGTAGCATGTTAAATGGAACATAATTATATCTTCTGTATTGTTGGAGTTTTCACGAATGCAGTATACTGATGACTATAACAAAGATTGAAACTTCAGTGCAAGACCATTGCAGCATAAAAGGAGGGGAAAAAAGAACCTTATTTTGGCGCAGATTTTGAATAAAACTTTATCTACTCAAAATCAACTTTAAAATAAGTTTACTTTATTTTCTATTTTTTGATTTAATTTAATGTTTACCTTCCATTTCATTCAAAACAACGTTTTTTATTCAAGCTTCGTTCGAGTACTAAACTTCTAACACATAGGACAAGTTTATAGTCGTAGCATGCTGACGACACTAGTTCATATTTATCTTAGACTAAATCTATAACCATTCTTCACACGGAGAAAAATTAGAAATTATTTCGTTACCAAAATAAAAGTCATTAGCAAAGCTTATAGAAGCATAAAAATAATAATAATAATAATAATAATAATAATAATAATAATAAGGTAAAGTCCTAGTATACGGTGCAGCCTTGGCGCGATTTTGAAAATTATCGCAAACACCAAAAATGATCCAAAGAACGTCTATGTATATATACTGTACACTATATACTATGTGTGTATATAAACATAGTATATACACTATAACTATATATATTCTTTGAAGACCCGTTTACTACTCATCGTATATGTCCCATTTTTACTGCTCATCATAAAGTCGCCAAAAGTAGCTAAATCCCGTGTGCACCGGATACTAAGATTAAACCGCTAATAATAATGAAAATGGAATAAAATACACGTACTTTACGAATAAATGCACTAAATAATAAAAAACAGATCCTGAGATTAAGAACAAAACCGTGGTCTATTAACACTGAAGAGTTTAAATGAAAACTGTCAAAAAGAAATTTAGAAAACAATTTGGTACTTATGTTATTTCTATAATATCACTTGAAATTTAGTTGCGTTCCAGTATCATTTTTGCAAGAGTACTTCACGGATTTTATATTTAACCAACTATGACCAATGATGCGAAACGTAAAAAAGTATATTTTAACATTTTATTGCATCTTAATTATTTTATAATTTTTTTTGTCCACTTAATGGGAACAAAATCTCTGCTCCTTAATTAAGAAAATCATTCTTTCTATTCAAATTTAAAAACAAATGCGAGTAATTCTAATCAAGATCTTCTGATTAATTAAGATTGCGTTGAATTACGACTACGATAAATTAAAATTACGTTTAAATGTTTCTTTGGTGAATCTTCAGATTATGGTAACTTGGCGATTTTTTGGCGAAACTTTGGCGACCAACCCTGCTACAGCAACCTCCTAGTTTTTTTGGGGGGGGGGGGTGACGCCATTTTGTTTTCACGATGTAAAGGCAAGATTTTTTTTTTTTTTTAACTCAAAATTTTTTTCCAACAATCTGCTAGCCGAATTACGCTTATGCTAGAACTTTTATGTAACAAAAGTGCTTAATCATGACGAAGATTAGGTTCGAAATTGGGCGAAAGTGCAGAATCGCCCATTGCTTCGCGCATTTTTTTAAGAATTGCACATACGCGGTACACGTCGACCTATTTTCACTTAGATTTGCACAAAATGGCATTGCGCACACTGTTGACTTTATCCATGTACACATCGACCTATTTTCACTTAAAAAAGTCAAAGAAAATTGACACAAATCCAATTCTTCTTATAAACAAATAATTGAGCGATTCTGCACTTTAGCAGCGAAATTGTTTCTAAGTGCTTATTACCTAAAATCACGATTGCAGTTTTTCGGAAAATGTCACATGACATGTCTCATGATCTCTTATTTCTCTGAGACAAAATAATCTGTGATTCGAACTGTGTACTTCTCAGGTTATTGCTAAAGTCCTACCTAGTAACCTTTATCGCCTTACCAAAATGTCGCCAAACTACCTGTTACCATATTCCAAAGATTAGCAGTTTCTTTGATTAAGAAATCAGATCTCATCTCATAAATCGTTAATAATCAAGAATCAATCACTAAAATTTACAAATCCATCATTTTGGTAGCCATACTGTACATATATATATATATATATTAAAAAAGCGGGATTACTGAAAAACTGCAAAGTTCCCGTAAATTAAGTTAAAAGATTCTGACAAAAAGACATTTAGAAGATTATTTTTAGTCTATCTAATGGTACAAAGATAAAACTTCTGCAGCAATAAAAGGTATAAGACAAAAATTCAAAACTAAATAAGAAATAACATTTATATAGTGTTTTGGGGAAAAAATCTTTGAATAATTGTCGCAAATAATGTGTGCGCAGGATTTCAAGAAACCAAACTCCGTGGAAGGAAGTAACATGCTAACCTGAAGATTTGATTCTAAGAAACAAACGATGAATCCAAGTTAAATAAAGCATTAAAAGAACATAACATAGGAAGAATGAATGTGGTATTACAGCTATTTTGAAGTACATCTCGAACGAATGTGTCGCATTTTGAAATCAGAAAGGATGTTTAAAAAGGAAAAAGAGAAGTTTAACAAATTAATGTTTACCTAATTCCAACGCTTTAACACCACAGATACCATAGTATACTGATTAAGTAAAGTGAAAGAATAGCTGTTCGGAAAGTTGACTTTTAAAAGAAATTAAAACGATTGGGAATCTCTATAAAGGATATACTATAGTACCTTGAATACAGAAGAAATAAATTTGAGTTTGATTTGAAGTAATCTTGGAGTAGCTGTAGTAAATCCGTGATAAGGTTTATTATGAATTATAGTTACATAAAATGTAGAAAATTGCGTAACGCGGTTTAATCCTACCATTTTGGCTCAATTTGACAAATTTTGTTACTGTTCTGTTATCAGGACCGGATCCAGAAACGTATGTATGAATGCGTAGATGTATGTACTTATGTTTGCATGTACACATGTAAGCACGAAGGTATGTGTGTGTATACATGTTTACATATATGCACATGCATGCATGATACATACAAGCATATACTCATACGTTTCTGAATCTGGTTCCGATAATAGAACAGTACCCAATTGGAACACAAAAAAAGAAAGGATGACTTATAACTAAAGAAAAAATACATCTTACATTTTAATTAGGTATTGATCCTTAAAATCAATTAAAATCAAAAAGTAAATTTACTTACAAGAGACTTTTTCTTTCTTTTTCTACTGGAAATTTCGTTGCGATTGCTTTAGGAGTACTTCAAGGCCAATCTTTTATAAATTTCGCGGCAAAACAGAGCATTTTTTTAGAACTTTTACCGCAGTTCCTTGCACTATAGGAAAATTAGAATAATGCAGAGTTTAAAATTCAGTTTAACACAAAAAAAATAACACGATTCCTCGATAAAAACCACTAGAACTCACACACAAATAAAAGGAACACATTCAAAAACGATGACGTTGTTTGTTAACACTGAGGATCTGTTATGAGCGTAGTTACCAGAATTTGGCGCAATTTTAACATTTGGCGACTTTTACTAAGATCGTACACTAATACTTATGTACCTAAAGTTGTACATGCATAGAAGTCCTTTTCTGTCCTTAATTCTTATTGTTAAATTAAATATAATTTGTATAAAAAAATGCCAGAATACAACTTCCTTTAAGCAGGAATTTGTGGTTTTTAAGATTTAAAAAAGGAAATTTTTTTCTTAATGTATTTCCGTCAAGACTCTCTTTGTTTTAAAAGCGCTGCTTTTTTCGGGGGGGGGGGATAACATCAGTGACAGTTTTTTTTTTCTTGCGTGTTTGCTGGCCGGTAAAATTAACAAGTACCCTGTAAAAATTGAAACATTACATTTATAAAGATTTGTTCCGTTTTACAGATTTCGAGAGGTACAAGTATAAAAGATGGAGAATTTGTTTTGAAATGTGATAGCAAATATGAGGTTACAGGGGCAGGGGCAGCAGAAGGAAAAGTTGAATGCAGAGGAGGAGCGTGGTCTGACAATCTTAAGTGCGTTCCAGGTAATGCATCTAAAAGAAATAAAATAAATTTTTCTTTTAAAAAATTGATATCTGCTGATCATGTTCTAATGCCATATAAATACCAATGCTATATGAATTTTACTTCTGTTGAAAATTAGTGTCACCAGGTTAAATAAGCAGAAAGATAGTTCAAAGATCCAAAATGTCCAAAATGGTTGATGTCAGCTCCAGTACATCGATGAAGAACTCTTTAATTTCGCGACAAAATTCTTCAAAAGTTCAAGATGAAATTTTAGAATCGAAAATTTCTAAGCCATTCTTTGCAGTGGAGAACGTGGACTTACTGCAGATAAAAGTCCCTATGATTGTTTGATGGAATATTCCTCAACACAACTGTGCTACATCCGACTCAAGACTGTGCTACATCTTCTCGAGCTAAGTGACAGACAGTAGATGGGAAAGATCCCTACCCGTTATCTGTCGACAGCCTAAAGTTTCCTAGAAAGAATTAAGATATCCGTCATGGTTAAGGACTTTTCAGGAACCCTGAACGATAATACGACCACCGTTTACCTTGAACACTAGGTAAACGCTAGTGTCTCGCTAGTGTTTATCTAGTGTTAGCGCCAGTTGTCTCGTATTAACGTTAACGCTAGTCTGTCTCGTACCCCTTTCGAAGCAATGCGCAAGCCTCTCAGAAAGCCATAATCTGAGGGCTTGCAACTGAGACTCTGCCAGAAAAGGTCAACACAAAACTTGATGATTTGGATTTCCCACTTACAAAATTCAAGGCAGTTCTATAAAAAGGCGAAACATGTAATAGAGCCTCTGACTATATTTTTCGCGACGTTCAGCGAAATAAAATTGGAAATAAAATCTACAACACTGATGTTCCTAAATGACACCGTCCTCAGGGTAAAAAGCCTTAATCCAGCCTTACCATGAAAACGCCTTAATCCAGCCTTACCATGACAGCGATTTGTCATGTCGGTTGTAACAACAATCTAAAATGCATGACGTGTGGATAAGATATTAAATATATCCGTCAGCTACCCAAAAAATCTGCTTACGTTTAGTCCATCATTTATCTACGTTCAGATTTTGTTTGCTGTTTCCGAAAATAAAGATTCGTAGTTTTAAAGAAATCTATCACATCGACCAAGCATTTCTAATCCAGAGCCTGCTGTTACCAGAAGCCATCCCTTGGTGAAAATCTTCCTGCGCATGCGGTGAGTAGTTCGGCCGCAGACAACATTATTGACTTTCTCAACAACTGCAAGCTTCAGGGACTCCTGTGTATAATCACCGAAATAGTCAAGAAGTCAGGAAAGGAAAATCTCCTGTACAAAAATTGCAGATGGCACTTACACTTTTGAAATCATTTGGAAAAGAGTACCGAAGTTGAATTTCCATATTCATGTAAGTTGATTCATCGACGAGCGTGATGTGATGCTCATCGATGAATTCTGATGCTGAAACCTTAGACTGCAAGCCTTTTATTGCTTCGAAAGGTGTATGAGACAGCTCTTTATCGTACAGACCAAGGTCAGTAGGCAACCGCTTTTTAACTCTGACGTCACGTACTTACACACATCGGAAGAAAACAAAGGGAGTAATTGCTTTTGAGCAGATTTGGAAGTCAGTGATGCCACACAAAAGCAAATCTTAAGGTACCTTGTTCCAGAGTTAGAAAAACAGTTTTTCTCCACGGCAAAAGTGCCACACCTTTTTTCTCTTTGCAGAGGATTATCCTTAGGAGTTCATTTGAGGATTTTCTACTCGCCAGGCCCCCTGCGTGGGAAAATTTTGGGAAATAACTGGAAAGAGATGCACAAATACTGCAGATGAACGCCAGTTATCAACCGAGTATCTGAATAACGAAAGGAATGCGTGATCCAAAATATCACGTTTGTTGTCGGATACATTTTTCTTTCAGAAATGGGCGAAGGTTGCACAACCATTCCGGCTTCGAGTCACATTTTAATTTCATACAGTGGGTACAAAAAGTATTTGCACACATACATTTTTGTTCACGATTTATAAGAAAATGCATTAAGAAATACAAAAATTGGCATTTAAAAAACAGAATAAGCTTATTCATTTAAATTTATTACAAAAAATACAATAATATTAATAAAAAACATTTTTTTGCAACAATATTAAAATAGCTTATGTCAAAAAAGTATTTGCACACTCAACTCAACTTTAGCAAATTTGCATTTTTATGCTATTATTTGACAGTCATCCCGCAGTAAATAACATACGTAAGACGACCATATAAAAGGTGTTGTCGAAACGTTATCAGTTGATTGTCGATTTCAAATTGTAATGGCACCTAAGAAATCTTGAATTGCCGATTTCGTTGCGAGAAAAAAAAATTGTTTCTCTACGTGAAAATGGCCTAAGTTATCGAGAAATAGATAAAAAAGTAAATTTTTGCTTCTCTACTGTTCGGTATGTTATAAAACGTCATAAAGAAAGAGGATCTACATCAAATAACTTGCGCTCCGGACGCCCAAAGAAACTTTCACTGTAAATGAAGTAAAGAATCATAAGAGAAGCATCAAAAAATCCATTTATTAGTGCAATTACTTTAGCCAATGATGTCGCTTCACATCTGGAGTTCAAATCTGTGCCCAAAGTGTTCGAAATGTCCTGCACGATGCACACATTTATGAGAGATCTCCAAGGTAAAAACTTCTCATAACTGAACGACATAGACTGAAGAGACTTGAATTCGCTAAGAAATATATCAATAAGCCAATTGATTTCTGGAAAAATGTCATATTCTCCGACGAGAATTCAATTCAATATCTTTAAATCAGATGGCAGGAAATTTTGGAGAAAACCTTGTACTGCTTTTCATACCAAAAATTATGTTACCTGCAGTTAAACATGGAGGAGGTTCTGTTATGATTTTGGGGTGCTTGGCTAGCAAAGGAGTTGGTAATTTGTGTTTCATTGATGGGAATATGACAGCTAGAACCTATATTGATGTGTTGCGAGATAACTTGCCACAAAGTGCAATAAAATTGGGTATCAGTAATTCATACTATTTTCAGCAAGACAATGATGCCAAGCACACTGCCGGTATAACACGTATGTGGTTGCTTTATAATGTACCCAGAAAACTTGCCACTCCACCATTATCACCAGACTTAAATCCTTTGGAAAATTTTTGGAATTCTTTGGATTTAAAAATAAGAAAAAGGAAGATTTCAAGCAAATCTACCCTTAAACAAGCCCTTATTGAAGAGTGATCGAATACTGACCCTACTATTACAGAAAATTTAATTAAATCAATGCCAGCAAGATTACAAGCAGTAATAGATGCTAAAGGAATGCATACTAAATATTAATTATTTGAAATTTGCTTATATATTTTATTTCTTTTGTATTCATGCAGGTGTGCAAATACTTTTTTTGATACGAGGTATTTTAATTTTATTACAAAAAAGCATTGTTATTTATATTATTGTAATTTTTCTGTTTGTTGTGGATGATTAAACTTATTCTGATTTGGCAATACCAATTCTTTTATTTCTTAATGCTTCTTTTTATGAAATGCAAACAAAAATGTAGGTGTGCAAATACTTTTTTTACCCACAGTAAGATGGTTATTTTAACACAATCTTTCTTTCTGAAGAACATCTCTTTCTCCAAGAAACAATATAAGGGCTTCTTCATCGTTGGACAGATCCCAAGCCATGAAATCTAGTTAATGCTTTGGTATGTGGACCGATAAGATTTAAAAAAAAAAACGTGGTAGTCCTAGCGAGGGTTTTAAAGCGTTCTAAATCGTTGAACGGAGGCACGTTTCTGTTAAAGGCCAGACGATATGGCCTTTAACAGAAACGTGCCATCGTTCAAAACACTTAAAATCAAAGCGGTTGATAATCACTAATTTAAACTGAAAACGATTAGAATGCGTTACTCCGTTGTCATCGCTGTTGTGATTTCGGCTAACAAATAATAAATGAGTATTAGATTCGTCCTGTACGTTTCGAAATAAACAGCATCCGTACAATATGAGTTTGCTTTGGTTAGTGAATTGAGGAAACCTTGTAGAGTCATTAGGTTAATTGGAAGCAGAGAAGAGGAAAAATAAGCAACCGTTTTCGCCGAGAATCGAACCACGGACCTCTGGAATACCCGGCCGAGCGTGCAGAACCCCTACACCACGAAAGCACGCTAGGGAAGTGGGAGAAATACCTTATATACTCCCCTTTTTAAAGGGCGACTAGGGTTTTAGGGGACCTAGTCGCCAAATCCTGGGTGCGGAGAATCATCATCCACAACCCTTTTAGTTCGGGGTCCACTTGTAGAGTCATTAGGTTAATTGGAAGCAGAGAAGATGAAAAAATTAGCAACCGCCTTCGCCGGGAATTGAACCACGGACCTCTAGGAATACCGGCCCAGCGTGCAGAACCACTACACCACGAAGGCACGCTAGGGAAGTGGGAGAAATACCTTATAACCTGAACAAAGAATAAAGAAGCCAGCCGTAGTTATTGTCACCGTAATTAAATATATACAGTACCGATATTATCAAAGCACGTCATCTAAACTGTTGAATTATGCTTTGAAATAGTAATTTGTTTACTTCATGGTGCGCAGGCTCTGGGGTGTCGAAAATTTGCTAGACGTATGTGTACGTTAAGATATGTGACGTATGTGCATGTTACATGTGTATGTGAGGTAATGTTACGTAAAAGAAATAAGATTTTTAATAGTCAAATTATTCATAATACGGAGTGGTACACGAAATGTCATAACATGTAATCACCTCATAAAAATTGGAATACTGAATATAGAATGTTAAAAGACGCGTATTCATGTGCTTCAGAAAGTCCAGTAGATGTCAGTATCGGACTCTAATTTGTTGCAAAACCGTAGTTTGTTAGATAACGGATAACGTATGTTTTGATGTCGAACACAATGTGAAAGTTTGTAATTTTTTTAAAGAAATTAAGAGTTTGGCTCTGCGCAAAGACGTTTTGCTCTTTGATGATTTTTGCTGAAATGGGCCAGACCAATCAAAGACCGTTATCAGCACCTAATTCTTCGTCGAGATGACATCCGACCTAAGTCTTGTAAACGATCGGATTTGAAGTCATCCCGACGTATTTACTAAGTGTTGGTAAAAGAGAGGTTACACAGGTACACAAGACCATTGTTGCCATGTCAGAGCCTGAAAACATTGGAGCAGTTCACATAGCTTTGACACGAAGTTCCAGCATTTCAATAAGGAAGATTGTTGCTGAATTAGGAACATCTCATAGGTCAATCCAAATGATTCTGATCTTTGATCCTTACTTGCTCCCTTACAAAATGATACTTGTCCATAGATTATCAGCATAGGACAAAAAGCAAAATTTGATTCGTGGTTAGTGAAAGAAAATCATGTTCTGAGAAACAGATGGTTTACGACGAGGTATATTTTAATTTAAATGGTGTGATGAATAAAAAAAAATGTTCGATTCTGGGCAAGTGATGTAACAAACTCAAATGCACTCTTTTGCAAAAAAAATCGAAGCACCATGAAGGAAGTGGTTGTTTTTGCTGAAATTGAATATGCGTAGAGCTCAAACCAGATAATAAAATGATTAAAAAATCAAGGCCATAGTACCTGTTCACGGCTCACAATCACCCATTGAATGTTCAAATTAGTAGTTGGTCGAACCGCCCTTGGCGACAATGCATGCTTGAATTCGCCGAGGCAAGGAGTGGAAGAGGTTCGTAATGTCATCCTGCGACACATTCTGCCAGCCATTCATCAACTGTTGCTCCAGATCTGCGATATTTTGTGATGCTCGAATCTGGCGGCCTACCATGTCCCAGACACTCTTGATTGGTGAAAGGTCTGATGACCTTGCTCGCCAAGGAAGATCATCAACCGCACGGAGATAGTCCAGAGATATGCGAGCGGTATGTCGCCTGGTATTATCTTGTTGGAAAATGGTCCCGGGATGACGTGCCATGAAGGGTAATGTAACCGGCCGCAGGATGGTATCAACATATCGTTGAACTGTTAAAGATGTACGGAGCATGATTAAAGATGACCTGCTGTCATAAGAAATAGCGCCCCACACCATCACACCAGGGGTTATGGCTGTATGCTTTTGTAAAACAAAGGCTGATTGGGACCGCTGGCCCTGTCTTCTCCAGACACGAACAGGGTGGGTCATCTGCTCCAAGAGTGAAGCGGGATTCATCGCTGAACACTATGCGATGCCAGTCTGATGCAAATGATGATCGGTTATGATGATCGGCTGCGACACCACACCAGACGACTCCGCCGATGTTGTGGGGTCAAAGCAAAGGCCTAAAGGCCTCTGTGAGCGTAACCCCGCCTCAGACAAGCGCCGTAAGATGGTGGACGGTACCACGGGAGGTATAGACGTGGCTGTAGTGCGTTGAATAGTCGACAATGATACCGTTGGGGCGGTTTGGGCCTGGCGAACAGTCATGCTATATTTACCTCGCATTTGTGTTTCTTGGCCTTCCAGAGTCTTCATTTCGTCCGCAATATCCTTGTAGCAACCATTGCTGTCAACATCTTTGCACAGCAGTGTCCGTACGCTGCAGGTGGTGGCCTATTGCTCGGTATGACCACCCAGCTTCACGCAACCACGTTCGAAGTTGTTTAGTTGTCTGTAAGGTCTTCGATATCGTCCTAATGGCATCTTTAGTTGCTTCTGCATGAATTACAATGGCAGCAACAAAAAAGATAAATTTTCCTCCTCGTTACTGGTTTTATACTTTGCGAATTGCGCACTAGATATGCGCGCTACGATCGCAATTCCTCTTCCTATGCCTTGAAACTTTGATCATTTGCATGTTCGATCAAGATGTTTTTGCATACCAAATTTCGTGACGATTACAAAAGTCCTTCTTGGTGCTTTGATTTTTTTTGCAAAAGTGTGTATCTTATTGTGCAGTTGTGCCGCACAGTTTTTGAAGACGTGTGCGGGAGAGTTGTCGCAAATGCGAAGGTTCTCTTTCAAGAAGTTGTAAAACAAAATGGTGGTCTCGTTGAACGTATTTTGCCCTAAACTTGCTTTCCATGCTGAGACAGTTTACTATACGTTAGTTTTGTAACATTTCAATGATAAATAAATGGGTGGTAAACAAAATAAAAAGTACGACATTTCGAGCGCTACTTTGCATAATTTTCTCTTGTATATATGTTATCGTGAAAGACCGAAATTGGAGAATGTCGACTCTCACCGGAGAATGTCAACATTCACCAAATATGTCTGTGAAAGATCGAATATTGCGCTACATTCTTGTATATTCGGATCCTCACCGGTGTATGTCGACAATCACAGATATGCTCTGGTGAAAGTCGAAAAGAGAGGTCATAAAGTACCATAATAGTTTAAGTTGTTGCAATAAATAAGATTTGAATCACATAATTTAGTAAGTTTTTTATGACTGTTATTTTATTTTCTCATTTAGAATGTACTGTATAATTAAGTAAGTTTTTAACTTCTATTATTTTCCTTTCTCATTTTAAATGTATTGTGTGTTTTAGGTTCTCATGTTCTTAAGTTCTTATTTCAAGTCTCAAGTGCGTTTATTCGCAACTGAATGACGGAGAAGAAAATATAATGTTGTTATATGTTCAACATTCACCATTAGTAGATGGTGAATGTCGACATTGACCGGTGTAAGTCAGAAATAAGAGTATTTGGAAAATATTTCGGACATACACCAAGAGACTATGTGAATGTTGACATTCACCGGTGAAAGTCGACATACTCCAGATTTCGGTGTTTCACCGTAACATATGCATTAAATTCTGTTTCAGTTATTTGCCGCAAATGACGCTTTCTAACAAAAATATTTTTTGTTAAGTATTTTACTTTGAGGAAACATGCACACATAGAGAGAGCATTCCCCCTTTCAATTGCCTTCAAATTAGCTTTGTCCCAAATATTATAATCTTAATTGCACTTCAGATTATACTGCTCGTTTATTTTGCGCAATATGTTTCATTCATGAAATGTATAGTTTGTTATTTGCTAGTTTCTAATATTATACAATGCTTCAAATTCTGTGGCTGCATAAGCTTTCCGGTAAAGAAATTATTAATTTCGATGATTTTTCAATTAAGATCTGATTACCATTTTCTTTCTTCCTTCAGCGTCTTGCAAAAGCTCTCCTCCATCTACTGCCAATGGCCGTGTCACCAGATTGTCTAAAGAACACGGTGGAACTGTCGTGTACTCTTGCAACTCAGACTACCGTAAAACGAAAACCGGAAATGTAACATGTCATTTCGGTACCTGGACCGGAATTACACCTGTATGTACCGACAGTAAGTGATTGTGTACGTTTTATGATATTCCTCTGTTTATCATTACGAATTTATGAAAGTATCTATTCCTCTTCAGATAAGCGTTACTGTCAACTGAATCCATAATTTGATAGTTTGTCACGAAAGAAATCTGAACTGGGATGTCGATACAAATCTGTAATAAAATTGCTTTGGAGTAAATTGCTTTTCATGGACTTTTATTTAGTAGCAAGTCAAATGATTATGATTTAATTTGCTACAGTAACTTACACTCATTTGTCGGTTACAGCCGAAAACATCGCAGACGAAAACGTCGCGGAGAAAACAACGCAAGGCAAAAACGTCGTGCTACAAAACATCGTGGGAGAAAACATCGCAGTCCTAAAACATCGTGGTACAAAACATCGTCGTCGAAAATAAAGCGGTTCAAAAACTTCGTAGTTTAAAAACATCGTCGTCGAAAATGTCGTGGTAAAAAATAAAGTATCTACAAATCGTCGCATGACGATAACATCGCAGATATGATTTTTTCAGACATGCTTTTCGCAGACATTCTTTAATAACTGTAAATTTATATTTCCATAATGTTTGTGAGCGCAAGATGGAAAGAAGGATAATTTTTACTTTCATATTTTTTTATTAACTAATAAATTTTTGCTGAGAAAATAAGAAAGAAATTTAAGCATAGAAAATTAATGCAACTTATAGCACTTAATGGAATTTTAAACCGACATAGTTAACTAACAAAGGCCATTAATAAATAATTTTTGTAATGCTTTTACTGGTAATTTTTCATGAAAAGTATAAGCTATAAGTTGCATTTAATTATCTATGCTTAAGTACCACGATGTTTTAGAACTGCGATGTTTTCTCTTTGCGATGTTTTCTCCCACGATGTTTTGTAGCACGACGTTTTCTCCTTGCGTTGTTTTCTCCGCGATGTTTTCGTCTGCGATGTTTTTGCCGCGATGTTATCGGCGGGCACCCATTTGTCAAACCTTGTACATTGTGGAAAAAAAAAAATCAGGGAACAGTTATATCTCCCGTTCTGCTGGGCCAATAGACGAAATTCAACTTGCATCCTGTCTCGAAAGCGCCACTTATTATATATACGTATATTAAATTTATATATAGTGTTGTTCTAGCCTGTGTATTTTGACACAAAATAGGGCTTTTTCTGAAATAAAATGTTAATTTGTTTCCGTATTTCTATTCTACGACTAAATGATGCCTAAAACCAAATTTTATAAAATTTGCTGTGAAAATTAATCTGTAAATCGGAAATTCACTATGGCTCACGTTTTTTGCTTTGTGCCAAAAATAATTCACCTGGCGAACTTTTCAGTTTTACAGCTACCAATTTCACTTCCCCTTTCATTCTGCGCGAGCGGCAAAAAAGTATATGTTTTCTTTTTCTAAATATATTTCTGTCTATATTTTTACTTCATGTTATACTTTTTAATCACGGTTCTTATTTTTAGGTTTTTTTATTTTTTTATTATTTATTTATTTTTTTTTAGAATTTTATTTTAATTTTTTGAGTTGCGCTGTTGAAGTGTAGTTCTTCAAAGGCTATTTAAAAAATTTATTAATTTACTTGCATTGTGTACTTTAAGCATGTTTATTCATGTAAATATTTATTTTTTAAAAATTTGATTTTATTTATTTCAATAACATTTCTCTCGAAAGAAAACTTTTTCATCCAACATTCGCCACGATGCCTTTGAAAACTGATTTCTGCATTAAAAGAGAACATACCATAAAACATGGTAATATACATGGTAACATACCATAAACACGTCTTTCAATAGGCCGTTCAAGAAAGATATATAAATACGAAAGATGTATTATCTACATTTTAATTTAAAATGATATGAATACAATGTTTCATGTTTTTATCGCTGTACCATTGTTCACTCAATTTTATCATCTGATATTTAGTTTGTTAAAATATTATCCATATTTCGGAATTAGTTTAAAGTTTTCATTTTTAAAATTGCAAAAATCATATATATAAATTATTTGTTATCGTAATGCCTTAAAATTTTTTATCTTAATGGCTTACTGGCTCGAGAAAAACCTTAATGATTTTCTTAAGATAAATCCGCATTCATCATCACGTTTTAATCGTTATATAGCATACTCATTTTTTGAAACAGCTTGTTTTCTACAGCATTCTTACTGGTAGAGGTGTCGCCTCCCGTTTCATCAGTAATTGGTCAGAGTAAAACAGTGAAGCGATTTTTTTTTTCGATGATACTGCATGTTTTGAGAGTCTAAGCCTTTGGAAAGCATGATAAGAAAGAAAAGACTAGTTTCATCAACACTGAAAACATTTTTAGCTGGTATCCATGTACTTTTTGAATAAATTCAGGTCATACATTTTTTGAGTTCTTCACTTATGATAAGATGTTCAATGATGTAACTCATACAGCCCTTCAGTGAAAATCCAGCCGCTTCTCATGATGTTGTTTCTTTTGTCCTTTTTGCTGGTATAGGTCCAGTCTCTGGATATACACTGAAGTGACAAAAGTCATGGGATAGCAATATGCAAATATACAGATGGCAGTAGTATTGCGTAGAAAATGTATAAATGCGAAGTGCTTTGGCAGGGCTTTCATTTGTGTTCAAGTTATTCATGTAAAGAGGCTTTGACGTGATTATGGCCGCACGACGAGAATTAACAGACTTTGAATGCGGAATGGTAGTTGGAGCTAGACGCATGGGTCATTCCATTTCGGATATCGTTAGGGAATTCAACATTCCGAGATCCACAGTGTCAAGAGTGTGCCGAGAGTATCTAATTTCAGGCATAACACACCATGGACAGCGCAGTGGCCGACCACCTGCACTTAACGACCGAGACCAGCGACGTCTGCGTAGAGTTGTCAATGTTCACAGACAAGCAACACTGCGTCAAATAACCGCAGAAATCAATGTGGGACGTACGAGGGACGTGGACAGTGCGGCGAAATTTGTCTTCCTTGGGCTATGCCAGCAGAAGACCGACTCGAGTGCCTTTACTGACAGCACGACATCGCCTGCAGCGACTCTCGTGGGCTCGTGAGCATATCGGTTTGTTCCTAAAAGAATGGAAAACCGTGGCTTGGTCAGATGAGTCACGATTTCAGTTGGTAAGAGCTGATGGTAGGGTTCGAGTGTGGCGCAGACCCCCCGAAGCCCAAGTTGTCAACAAGGCACTGTTCAAGCTGGTGGTGGTTCCATAATGGTCTGGGCTGTTTTTACATGGCATGGACTCGGTCCTCTGGTGCAACTGAACCGATCATTGACTGGAAATGGATACCTTCAGCTACTTGGAGATCATTTACAGCCATGGACTTCACGTACTCAAACAACGATGGGGATTTTTATGGATGACAATGCGCCATGTCACCGGGCCACAATTGTTCGCGATTGGTTAGAAGAACATTCTGGACAATTCCAGCGAATGATCTGGACACCTAGATCGCCCGACATGAATCCCATCGAACATTTATGGAACATCATCGAGAGGTCAGTTCGTGCCCAAAACCCTTCACCGTCAACACTTTCACAATTATGGACGTCTATAGAGGCAGCATGGCTCAATATTCCTGCAGGGAACTTCCAACGACTTGTTGAGTCCATGCCACGTCGAGTTGCTGCACTTCGCCGGGCAAAAGGAGGACCGACAAAATATTAGGAGGTATCCCATGACTTTTGTCACTTCAGTGTATTTTACTAGATGCACTCAGCAAAATATGATTTGAACCTCTAGATATTTCTACATGAACATGCAATTTCTCTGCAGCGGTTTTCCGCAAACTGATATTCTTTAGTCTTCTTTCAGAAACATTGGTTGTCAGCATTGACAGAAGAATGTTCCGTTTTTTGACATGTGTATTTCCATAAATTATGTATTCTTACCAAATTCTTTAAAAACTTTAGTTGTATCTTTCAAGGAGACCGCTGTTTCATTTACTAGACATTTTAACTGAAAATTAAGGTTAAACTCACCGAAGCTTAATGTGGTGATCTACTCGAGAAGAATATGACAGGTACAGTGTCGGTGGTTGAATTACCAATGTACGTAATTTGTACTTTTTTTCACGGAGTTGACGGAAAGAGTCCGGTGTTAAAATTTTGTTTGATATAAAATTAGCAGTATATGTCAACAGAGAAGAGAACCTTTTAAATTTTTAAAATTATTTTTCAAGAAAAATTTTTAAAAAATCCTAATATAACAGAAAAATGTAGCAGAAATAATAATAAATGTGAAAATAACAATAATCACTATTTATTATGTTACTAATGATTGACAAATCACAATTTGACTTTTAAAAATGTGTTTATCCTATTACGTGTTTACAACATAAAAATATATTTTGCTCTGAAAAAAAAAATGATGATATTTAAAGGCCCTTTCAAACATTTGTTTTAAAAAATTGGTTTGCATTTAATGCCATGAAATATCTTTGGGCATAAAACATCAAAATAATTTTTGGTACTGTCCCAACTGGCGATTTACCCAATGTCGTTTAGTTAGTTAACTAGTTTTATAATAGATGGCGCCACCTCTTTTCAGATAATATTTTGTTTGTAAGAGCAATGTATATGCTTATCATTTCTTTCACAAGCAACTTTTCCGTTGAATTTTCGAAGAATTATTATTAGTTATTGCTATGGTTAAACACTCCCTGTCCGCTGTACTACAACCTGAACCTGAAGAGTTATTAAAATTTTGTTTTCGAATGTTTGTTATCAATTTTTTACATTACAGAGTTGAAATAAGAAGCCAATGAAATAACTGTTATCTTAAGCGGCAACAGTGTTTAATTTTATCTCTCTTCTTTCAACGCTCTGCTTACAACAAATTGTTTGTAAATAGGTTTTGAAACTCTAAACATAGCAGTATAAAATCGGCTGTATTTTGTTTTACCTCTTACCTGTTCTATTCACTATATGCGTGGAATTCTTGATATTCTAATATTTATCCATAACATTTAGAAGCTCACTTTCAGTTATATTAATATCGAATATTCATTGAAATACTTCAACCAGCTACTCTAATTTTTAAAAAAATGTCACCCTTTTATTCGCACACTGTGTTCTTATACGTACCATAAAACATAGCAAAAGAAATATTTTGCAAAACGTAAAAAATTATTAATATTAAATCGTAATATATCTGATCATGCAAATTTGAAAGATAATTCTGAATTACGAGCAGTTGATTCTTCAGTGGCTATCGCAAGATAAAATTCCTAGCTTTCGTTTTGAACGTGCGATAAAATGGCGGAAGAAAAAAAAGGCGTAAAAGCAACAATCTTAATAGCGCCACCTATCGATCCGTAAAGTAATTACACAGTTAAGTAAAGTAGATCGCCTGTTGAGAGAATATCTATTTTTATTTGTTGCCTTTACTACACACAGAAATGAAGGTAAAAATCTTATATTCTAGTAAGTTTTGCGGCTGTTAAATATTGCTGTAGCATACTTTTAGCCCAAAGAGGCGTTAGCCCAGAAGTGCTATTAGTATCGAAACGGCGTTCTGCGTCGATTCAATATAAACGGCTGTATCACTTTTCAAATTGTTGTCACCAAATATTATCGCACTGACAGTTAAATAAATTAAATAATGAATAATCTGCATGCATGTGTATGTATGTTTCTCGCATTGGGAAAAAATAACGGTACCTAGAGCCATCGAATTTTGAATAACGTAGTCCTCCACCCGAATATCGGCACCTGGAAGCCCGAATTTAATTTCGAATTTGTTTTATTATCGCTTTCATAATGTTTAAACTTTAACGAATTTTTCATTAAGAAACTCAACAATTTCAAAGCGAGCAGTGGCAACACATTGTGTGGAATAAAATATTTTTATCTCCAGCTTGCGAGACTGTGTATCAGAAATTATAAAGATATGCTGTTTTTTTAAATATTTTTAGTACAAATGCTTTCCTAACGTGTATGTGTAAATGAAAAAATGCCCATTTGGGCGTAGTATAAAATCTGAAAGGTTTTCCGATTTCTTTTTATTTATATTTTATGTATTTTATATTCTATGTATATGTATTTTAGACGTTTGGTGTACTCAGAAGTACTGAATGCGTGTATGATTGAAACCAATAAAATAAATTTCGCTCGATATAAAACGATGATAATTAAAACAACTAACGATAAAATAGCGAAGTGAAAAATTTATCCTTATCAAAGGGGGAAAAAAAAAAAAAAACTTTGCTTAACATTCTTTATAAATTTAAAAAATAGCTTTTCATGCATTATTAGTAAATATTTATTAGACATTATTAATGAAAATGAAAATAAAGGAATCCCCCCCCCCATGAATAATCCTCAGTAAAAGTTTGTTTGGAAATTTAAGGTTCAGAATAGGTTAAGATAAGTTCAGATTAGGTAAGTTTATTAAGGATTACAATAAACTGCGCAAATTATCGCTTGTCACAGATATGCCAAATTTGAAAACGCGCCACTATATGAATTAAAACTGTAATTTTTTGCCAGGTATGCTTAGAAGTACATCTACTTTAAGATGATGGTAAACATTTTACAGGTTATAATCAAAGTTTTTTTTTTTTCCTAAAAACTTATAAGAATTACTTCAATATACAAATTTTAAAAATAAATCATAAAAATGTGCGAGTTTTCTTTGGATTGGATCTAAATTTCGAATTCTAAAAGAACAATTTAAGTAAGTGTAATAAAAAAAAAAGAGATATTAATAAGTGTATGTCAAATTCAGTTAACACGGGAATTCTGGAAGCATTCGTGCGACTTTTACGAAAGTTGGCACTTTGACATCATTTGAGGCGTACGATCGACATATGGGGGGGGGGGGAATGGTATGTCGTTTCAGAAAAATGTCCGATTTTGTGTCAAAATACCTATGTTAGAACGATGCTATAACGCTTTCTAAACATGAAAAGTGCAAGTTGAATTTAATCAAACTACCCAGTTGAACAGAAGATACAGAACTATACCTACCCTTGTTTTTGAACTGAGTGTAGATATAATGAATTCACAACAACATTTCTCTTTTTTAGCTCGTTGCCGCATGGATAAACTTCTCTTTCCTGGTTTGGTACCTGGAAAATCTACGTTTCAACATGGCGAATCATTTCTGCCGTCCTGTGTAAACGGTTATCGAGTTGCGAAACCGGAAGATAGTAGATTATCCTGCCAGCAAGGAAGATGGATTGGTCATATGCCGCCTTGCACTGGAGGTAATGCGGATTAGCTAGAATTCAATCAAAATATTTGCATCTACTTTAACTAAATATTAAATTTATTAAAATAGAAAAATATGTTAAATTGTTAAACATGTTTTTAGTTTCGACATTTTTGAATAATTAGCTCTGTAATAATAATTCCTATTAATATGATTTTTAGTTTCGATATATGTTTCTGATTTATGTTTCGAATGTGTTTTCGGTATATGTTTTTGATATATGCTTCGAATATATTTTCGATACGTGTTTTTGATATATTTGATTTATTTCGATATAAGTTTTTGATATATAATTCGATATATATTTTTGATACATATTTCGATATATGTTTTTAGTGCAACTAATATGTTGGATATGTTTTGTTACATGTTTTGATTGATATAGATATATTTTATATATGTGTTTTTTGATTTTTTTTATTGTGTGTGTTTTTTTTTCAGTATTTTTTTGATAATTAGTTATGTAATTTGAATAATTAATATATGTGCTGTCTTTTTATACAATTGGATATCGTATTTTCTGCATCCTGAATGCACACTGGTTTGACAGACGATGTGTATATATCTTAGATATTTTGTAAGCAAGTTTGAATAGTAGTTGACGAATAAATATATTAAATTATGAATTTTATTCTTAAATAAAAGATTTAGGTAAAAGTATAGTTTAGGGTACCCCTTGGCGAAACTTGGCTGTACGTGGATATCGATTTTGTGCAATTCCTTGACTCTTTATTTTGGGCTTGCGAACGACGCTACACAAAGCCAAAATAACAAGAAAAACAATTGCACAAACTCGGTATCCATGTACACGTCGACCTATTTTCACTTAAAAAAAAAAAAAAAATCCCAGAATTGCACAAACTTGCATTGCGCACTCCCTTTACTTTGTCCATGTACACATCGATATATTTTCACTTAAAAAGTCAAAGGAGCACTAAATTTTACAATATGGGCAAACAAAAAATAATCTCAATAAAATACATTTTAAATTAAACAATAAAAAAATATAAAAAAGGAAAAACATGTTATACATTTAAGAACTACCAAAAGTAAATATTCACTTACCATGATTTTCGAGTTCGCTTCGTACACCCAGAACCACGTAAAAATCAAAATATCAATGACTCAAATGACTTTTTCAAACCAGGTACTCTTTCTGATCGAACGCTTCGCATAGTGACCATCTGAACCTTTCTTCCTACAAACTCATTCAAATCCATCTAAATGGTTTTTACGTTCGACTAGACGCATATCCTTCCTACATACAGGACACTTATAATGGCTACTAAGTAAACCTTCATTTACACACCAGTCAATTAAAGCTCTTTTCCCCTTTCGCTCCACATCGTACAGAAACTTCATATTAATCTTACTACATTCGGCCATTCTACCGTCTAAAGAATCAAACCAACACACACCACAAAAACGCTTACAAAACATCCCAAGATTAAAAATTTCCCAGAATCATGCACCCGATTACGTCACAATAGGGTTTCCATAACATTCAACTACTCAGGCTACCATAAATGAAACAACAGCTTGGCGATAAATCAAACAACAACTTCGCCATAATACAAGGGGTACCTTAAAGTCTACTCTACCCAAGATTTAAATTAGTATTTGCAATGAGAAAAGAAGTTTAAATGATAAGTCATGTCCCACACGCGTATATGTACACTAAAATTAATCTATAGGAAAACGTGTTTTGAACAATTGACCGTTGAACTGTTTTATCCCTAGTTTACAAATTTAGAGCAATTTCTCACTGTAAACTTTTCTTGTAAAAAAAATAAGGATATATTAAAACCACAGCGCGTTATGTTGAATTTTCCAATTCACAGAGGCAGAAAACGGGCATACAAATTTAATCTGGTAAAAGTGTTTGAATATTTCTTCTTGCTTATTACGAAACATTAAAATTTTATTTGAACAATATAGAATAAATAACGGTAAAAATATATTGACGGGTGCCCTTTGGCGAAAATTGGCGATTTTTGGCGGTACATGGATACCGAGTTTGTGCAGTTCTTTTGGCTCTGTGTAGCGGCGATTTTTGCGCCAAAAATCGCCGCTACACGAAGACAAAGTATCAAGTCAAAGAATTGCACAAACTCGGTATCCATGTACACATCGACTTATTTTCACATAAAAAAAACATCAGAGCATTGCACAAACTTGGCATTGCGCACTCCCTTGACTTTTTCCATGTACACATCGATCTGCTTTAACTTAAAAAGTCAAGGGAGCACCCAATTCTACAGTAGAGTCTATAAAGTATTTCTCCCGCCTTCCTAGCACGCTTTCGTGGTGTAGTGGTTCAAGCTGTGCTGGCATTCCAGACATCCGCGGTTCAATTCCTGGCGAAGGCGATTGCTCATTTTTCATCTTGCCTGTTCCCAAAAAATACCTTATGTCTGTACAAGTCAAACAAAAAATACATAATCTCAATAAACTACATTTAAAATCAAACTATAAAATAACATAAAAAAGGAATTTCATCCTATGCATCTAAGTAATACACAAAGCAAGTATCCACTTACCTTATTTAGAAATTTTTTAGTCCTTCAAAGTGTGGCACACAAAATTCATTAACAGCATCCAAAAACTTCCTAAAATTATCTGAACTAGAATCCGCATATCGGTGTCGCCGCATACATTCACAAAAAAATAAGCGTCAAAAATATTTTCCGTAGGGCCGATATCCTTCGACGTTCAACCATACGCATTTCCTTCCTACAAACAGCCCACCAGCGGCCGAGCGGTAAAGACGCTGAACACTGGTAGTTCGGTCCGAGGTTCGAATCCCGCGAACGGGCTGGCTGCATGGGCGTTTTCGTGGTTTTCCCCATGTGTAACGTGTATACGAGGTATTTTCCCTAAGAAAGATGGCTTTAAGCAGGTAGCTATTGTGTGCTTTGAAATAATTGAATAATCGAATTCAATCCTTACTACAAACAGGACACTTATAATGGCTACTAAGTAAACCTTCATTTACACACCAGTCAATTAATGCACTTTTCTTATTTCGTTCCAAATCGTACAGAAATTCAAATTAATCTTACAAGATTCAGGCATTGTACCGTCTAAACCACAAAACAAGCAACTTACTTCGTAACCAACACACACACAAGCCCTTACAAATCTTTTTCCCGTCATTCAAAATTTACGTCAACACGCATTCGATTACATCATAATAGGGTTTCCATAGCATATAACTAGTCAGGTTACCATAAATGAAACAGCAACTTGGCGCAAATGAAGCAACAACTTGGCGATAAATGAAACAACTTCGCGATAATACAAGGGGCACCCTTCAATCTACTCTAGCCTAAATAACTACTCTATACACAGGGGAACGACCAAAAAAGAAACGTATGAAAGAGTTATTGGAAGAGAATGAAATTTGGGAGGTGTGATGTATATGTATGGCCAAAGAATGACAAGTGTTTCAGAAGAATTGAATGTTTTATTCAAGAGACAAGAACTACATATAGCAAATAAATTAATAAGGCCTTTGGCCCACCTCTTTCCCTTATACAAACTATTATCCGTCTCTGCACTGAGTCATAGAGTTAGTGAATGACCTTCTGTGAGACCTCTTGCCAAACTGAAACTCTCTGCAGTTATCGAGTTAGGTCAAGAGCATTACGTTTTTGAAAATGTAACCCAGAGAAATCTCGAAAGGAAGGGCAACTAAAAAGGGCGTAGAACATCATCGACGTTTCGAAGTGCTATAAAAGTCTCAGTGAGTGTCACAAATGACAACCAAAAAGTCTAGTAAGTAAACTATTTGGAGGCTTCTAGAAACTGGATGGAAGAAGTTCATTTGATGCTCCTTAGAATTGGCCATTTTCGAATCACACGTAACTAATTGCCTTCTAAAATCGGAATGTGAGACTGTTTGCTCAAATTGTAGTACTAGTTTGTTAGCGTATCACATTTTAATAGAAAGCCCTTGTCTTCATAACTTCGTAATTTTTTTTTTTCATGATTGCTGCTAAACTGTTAACTAGCCAATCGGCAAAAATATCGCTTTTAATTTATCTGAATTTTTAAGAGAGACGGGGTTTTATCATTTAATTTAAGCTTCTTTCAAAATGGTTTTATATTTTTTAATATTATGGCTTTGCATATTTTATGTATTATTAATATTAATTTAATTTCAATATATTTTATGCGTTAAAATTACATATGGTTTCATATTTGAATTCATCTTGCGAGTTTATTTATCAATTAATCACTTCATTACACAGGGCGTTTCATACTGAATGGGACAAAAAGAAAGCATATCTGTGAGCGTTGTAATTACTTTATTTTGATAAATGAAATTTACAGTAAAACTATAGTTATACAAGTTTCTATAGATATTCTACGTGTGCCCCTCCGGTGATACGGCAAATATCTATTTGGTGTTCCACTTACTACTACGCTCGTGATAGAATATCCTTTGTTAATGATTCGAACGCTTCAGTTATCCGCTGCTTCAGCTGCTGTAAATGGAGGCGCGAACACTTTGTCTTTAACAAAACCCCATAGGAAAATATCACTAGGGGTTAGATCTGGAGATCTAGGTGGTCAACAAAGCAATGGCATATCGTTTGTCGCAACACAGCCAGTCCAGCGATCAGGTAGGGTATCGCTTAGGTATTGGCGTACGTTTTTATGCTAGTGCGTTGGACACAGTCTTGTTGCAGAGTGCAGCCGGGAACCGCTTCCTCCAACTGAGGGAACAACCACTCTGATAGCATATCTTGGTAAATGCATCCCCATTAATCGATTTGTCCACGAAGAAAAAAGTACCAAAACACAAGTGTTGGATGGGCAGAAAACGTTCACCTTCTGAAAATCACGCTGATGTTCCATCACAACATGCGGATTTTCCGTGCCTCAAAATCGTAAATTATGGCGATTAGCTTTCACAGAAACGCGAAAGGTAGCTTCATTCATGCACACAAGTCTGTTCGCGAAACTGTCTACCTCTAGCTTTTCTTGCAAATTCTCAGAGAAAGCTTTACGCAACGGTT